ATGAAGCAGAAACACCATCAGGGACTTGTGCACAAGGCAAGGGGATCCCGTGTCAACCCCAGGGACATTTAGTTGCTTTGGGTCAATAGCGGTCCGTTCTCTGGGACCTCTGATTAAACAAGACACCACTGTTTAAAATGAAGATTCATATCCAGTGTACTATGCAAGTTATTTGTGAAACAAATTCCATAATTACAAAGAAACATGGAGTAAAAATCCAAACCATCTCTAAGAAAATGCAGTTTTCTTGAAGCATTTTAAACATGTGACTGTTACATCAGCAGATGGCGCTGTGGATTAACAGACGGGAACGGAAGCAGCTCCTGGACGGCCAGTAGAGGGTACCCTTTTGGATGTGTGTGTGAACTGAGTTTATTCTGGAGGTTGATTTTTGGGTGCCACACCTGGAGGTACTCAGGGATTACTCCTGGCTCTGTACTCAGAAATCACTGCTGGCAGTGCTTGAATGGACCATATGGGAAGCTGGGGGTTGGACCCAGGGCATACAAGGTAAACATCCTATCCACTATACTAGCGCTCTAGTGATTTAACACAGCTCAATATACAACCAACAGTTGTCTGACACGAATTGATCTGATTTACTTACAACTCATGCAGAATGATCTGAGTTTATTGAGTACATACTCCTGGTCTGTTTCTTTTCAATATTTTCAGATTGTTTTTCCTATCAGGGAAAGATGAAAGTTCATCGCTAGATCCCGGGCACCCTGGCTATGTGAAGAGCTGAAAAGGACCCTTATTGCTCCCGGCCAGCCTCAGGACTGGACCATGGAAGAATCTACATAGGGTCGGCAAGCAACTCCCGTCAGACAAAGCCTGCCACGGACAGATCTAGTGGTGCCTGTCCAGCCCGGAACTTGCCTCGGGGTAGGCACAAATGTCTTTTGAACAAACTAATAAACACCACTGCTTTTCAAAGATGAGCCCCTGAAAAAGGATCTGGGGGCTCATTTTCTGACACTTCTCAGCTGAGCAATCAATGTGTGTCCAGGATCACAGGCAGGAAATATATCTGCAGTCTCTTCTTCCCCACCTCAGGCTTTTGTTTTCATTATTTTTTTGAGGGGGGGTGGTAGGGGGACTTTTTTGAGTCACACCTGGTGATGCTCAGGGGTTACTCCCGGCTCTGCACTCAGGACTTATTCCTGGTGGGGCTTGTTACCATATGGAATACTGGGGATGGAACCTGGGTTGGCCGTGTGCAAGGCAAACGCTCTACCGTACTATCACATCAGCCTTTATTATTTAATTCTATTTTTTAATTAGTTTTTGGGTTTGGAGCCAAACCTAGGAGTGCTCAGGGCTTATTCCTGTCTGTGCTCAGGGCTCACTCCTGGCAGGGCATAGGGGATCATACAGGCTGCAAGGCACGTGTCATAACTCCTGTTCTCTTTCTTTCTGGCCCCTAGAGTCTGTCTTTCTTTCTATTTAAGTACATAGCACAAAAAGATTGTCGGAATCTTTATGACCAATAGTGCCAACTGGGAAATCATTTTTCTCCCCGTCATTTACTCTGCCCAGTGCGGTAAAATAAATACATCCATTCTCCAGGGCATTTGATCGAATGTCTGTGGGTTGAGGACAGTCCACAGGCGCAAAAAGATTAACAACCAGGGGCCTCGCCCATGAAGCCCAAGAACTCACACATATCATTGAATGTAAATAAACCTAATTTTATTGGCCTGTGACAATTTGGATAGATTCATTATGACACTCGAGACTATTCATATCTTCAAGTACCTCAAAACGCCCTGCTCAGGGACATGAATGAAGCTCGGCGGTACAGCACGTGCCTGGCGTGTCTGAGGCCGGGGCTCCCTCCCTGGCATCCCTCTCAAATAGAGCTGTGGCTACACGGCTCACTGAGACCTGAGCGTTCATTACTAAGTTCTGGCAACAGCACCTTTGGGTTCTGTGCAGTCAACATCAAGTGCTAACAGACTGTCGCTTCGTAGAAGGAAAAAGCTTTTAATAACTTAATTAAGTATCACATGCCCCTCAAGTACAATTCCGATATGTGCTTCATCTTCAACATAAATAAAACGACAGAGCACTATTCTGAAGAGCACTGTTTGGTTAAAGGAATTTAGGACACAGAAGACTAAAACGAAAAGTCCATCCATCTCCTCGGAATTCACTCACAATTTCTACCAAGTGCATTTCCTGCCAGTTTCCCCCCATTTATTTTAAAATAACGGACTGCGCCACATAATGCTGATTTTCATATATTGTTTAAATCCAGAGCCTTTTTCTGCCTGTAGATCACAGATGAAATAGTCTATGATAAAGGAAGGCTGGCGTCAATGCCAGAGGGACATCAATTATGATTCCAGGAGAAATCATAATTGATGATTATGCCCACACTAAAATCTTGCCAAGTTATCAAGAACCGACATGGCCATAGCACAGCCAAAACCAGACTCACTACCTCTTTTGACTTATCCTCACCCCTTCCATCTTCTTGATTTCCCACCTCAGCTAAAGGGAGTAAGGTTGGAGGAATGTCTTGGTTCCAAAGACTGTTAGACCTGGATTCAAATTTTAACTCTGCCAGTTTCAAGCTGTGTAATCTAGAGCGAGTGACTCACCCTCTCTGAGTGCCAATCTCTCACTGATAATAGAGGATATACTCCACATGGAATCCCAGCGACCAAGAACTTCCACAAGCAAGGCCCAGGTATGCGGGTTCCAGGACTAAATCTCCGTGTTGCATGGGGGCAGAGGCACCAGGCTGTCCCTCCCTAGCTCCCCACCTGCTCATCAGCCTGGCTGTCACCCCCACAATGTGCCTCCAGGCGCCATCTTAGCACGCCAACAGCCCTGGTCCAGAGATGCCCAATTGAATCCCAAAATGAATTAGTGCCCTACAGAGATGTCTCTGGAATCCAACCACCTACAATCTAGGATTCCAGAAGCGCGTGGCTGCGGCACCCATGATATTCAGAATAAGCAACGGACAATAAATGATTGAGCATCTGCCTCTGGCAGGCAGGCTTGAATGGTGGTGGGAAAATTTGAGCAAAACATAATGCCCCAAAGTAGAGAGTATTGGGGAAATTTTCTGCTATGGAGGCAGGAGAGGGCTGGGATGGGGGGTGGGGGATGGATATACTGGGGACACTGGTGGTGGAAAGTGCGCACTGGTGGAAGGACGGGTGTTCGATCATTGTACGGCAGAATCTGGAACATGAAAGCTTTGTAACTGTATCTCACGGTGATTCAATAAAAAAAAAAGTAAAAGTGGAGTTCATGCTCAATTCAGTCAACTTAATCTGGCTGAATAAATAGCTGTCCTCCTACATTTAAAAAAAAAACTTATTTGTGGTAAAGGTAGTACAGTAAATAATTTTTGGATGTCAAAAAAAAGAGGAGGTACAGTGTCTCAAATGGAAGAGATTTTTATATTGGTCCAAAGTGAAAACTGAGATTAACAATAAAAAGCACAAACCACCAGTGGTGGTGTAGGGATGGGTAAACGATCATTGTATGACTGTAATGCAAACACAAAAGTTCATAAGTTTGTAACTGCACTTCACAGTAATTCACTAATAAAAAATTTCAAAAAAAAATCACAAACCTTCAGTTACCAGTTTTCTAACTTTTCTAAGTAATTCCTACTTTATTGTTATAATCAATGATTGGCAGACAGTATTACTATAAAAGTTTAGACTGGGAGAGAACATCGATCAATATATCTGGAGTGGAAAAATACGACCATTAAACCAATTATGTAGAAATGTCAATCATTTAAGATAATACCTCCCCCTGAAGTTGCCCCCACCCCGATCGCTTTCCGTCTTTATAAATGTCGCCAAGGGCACGCTCACATGCTGTTCATTCTCCCCCCTCTCCCCATCCCCCCTCCCGCCTTCCTGTCCCTCTCCAGCCTCAGGCCTAGTTGCCTGTTCTCCCAGGCACTGGGCTCCACTTCCCTTCCCCTTCCTCACAGCCAGCGTAGCGTGTCCCCCTGCCCACTCTCCCCCCCACCCCCGCCATGAGCCTCCAATACATCCTTCACCTGCGTCCCCATGGCCCCCACTGTCACCTGGTTTGCCTCCCTCTTCCCAGGGCACTGCTGCCTTTTCCTCCCCATCTCTGAACACACGCCCTTTCCGGGACCCCTGTGTGAGGCTCACTGTCTTGCAGAACTCATCAGGGCTCCTGCTTTAGGGACCCCCAGTGTGCGGCGGATAAAGCCCTTGAGCCTCTCCCCAAAGTCTATGAAACCCGCTGACCAGGTTCTCCTGGTGGTTAGCAGTCCCCAGTGACCACACTCTGCCCATTCCCCCAACACCCACTGCCCTGCCACAAGCCAGGAGAGCCTGACCCCTTCTGTCGCCTCACTTTGGGTCTACCTCAGCCCTGTCCCCTCACCCATGACATACCCAGACCTCCATCCAGGTTCCCCTGCCGCCCCCTAACCTATACATCTGGCCACTGGCCTTCCCACCAGGAGTCTTGGTGACACTGTGAGTATGGGGAGTTTTAGCTCAAAGTATAGATTGTACACACGTGGGCTTTTCAAATTCCCCCCTGACACATACACCTAATGCATTTACACATAAATCATCTCAATAATTTAAATTTGTTTGGGGAAGATTCCTTAGTGGTACTTTCTACATCTGGGTACTATATTTTTCGACGGATGTTTATATGCATATGGATGTCAACAGCACAGAGTACTATTTCGAATGAAACACTTCTACTGAGTGGTCACTAATGCCGCTTTACAGACAACAAACATTCTCAATGAACCGTCATTATTTTATTCTACTAGAAGATTCACCACCTTCAACAATTCGCACTGGACACCTGACCGCCAAGGAACGCAGTGGCGCAGTTAACCAGTATGACCTTAGTGCCATGCGCTGCCATCAGATTCCTAGTTTACAACTACGGGCAAATCAGAAAGCCAGGGCATTGGGCCACAGGAAGTGGGAAGGACATTCGGGACACACACGGGGACGGTGGCTACTTACACTATGAACTCCCAGTGCTTTCCAGACAGTGAAGCTGATGAGGCCGACCCCGCACCAGGCGCACAGTGAGCCCCAGCCCAGTGCTCGTAGGGCGAGGGCAGACCCGCTCTCCGGTAAGGCAGCCGAGGCCATGCTGCCCTGTGGGAGAAAAAGGAAGGACACGGGTGGGTCAGGCCAGAGAGGCAGGTTGGGCCCACACAGGGAGGCAGAGTAAGCTCTAACGTCAGCTTCCTGCGGTGGGCACGGAACAACAGGAGGCGTGTATAGCACCCCACGCAGCATGGGTCTCCAGACACCCCGTCGCCCCATGCCCCCAGCACACCCCACCAGTTTGTGGTCCCCTTCCCCGGAGGTCAGGGGCAACTGCAGGCCCAGTTCTGGGCGATGCTGCGTGGTACTGGACCTGGTGTCCACCCCGTTAAGCCATCTGCTCCGGCTGCTTCTCTTCTGAGGACACCAGGTATATTGTCACCCCAGGGGCAGGCAGGGGAGATGTGAGTTAGCCCCACTGGGGCACGTGGGGCAGGCGAGGAAGGCCAGATGGGATTGGGGGGGTCCGGAGGCAGATGCTGAAAGTCGCTCACCGACAGGCTCCCCCCACCTCAGAAAAGGTCGGGCTCTGGGGTAATTCCACTCCCCACAGAGGACTTGGGGGTTTAGATAGACCAACAAACTAGGTTGTTTCAAACAACCAAGTGTGCAGAAAATAATTTTTTAAAAAAGCATTAAAACTAATATTTCAGCCACACCCAGTTGTGCTCAGGGCTTACTCCTGGCAGGGCTCGGGGAACCATAGGGGTTGTCGAGGATCGAACCTGGCTTGGCCATGTGCAAGGCAAGTGCCCTACCCACTGTGAGATATATATATATATATATATATATATATATATATATATATATATCACTGCGGAATGAGTGTGACCCCAAAACAAATAAGCAACAACAACAAAAAAACCCAAAATAATAACAAAAAAGTGTGGTTAGATTTTTATGGACGTGGCAAGCTATTTTTCTGTATCTGGTGTTTTCTGGTTAAAACGACCCAAGTGGTAATGCCAGAGATACAGAACAGCAGTAGGACTCTGGCATGGTATGTGCCCCACCTGGGTTTGACCCCCGGCATCCCATATGGTCCTCGGGCACCACCAGGAGTTCATTCCTGAGTGCAGAGCCAGGAGTATGCCCTGAGCATCGCCAGCTGTGACCCCCCTCAAAAAAAAAAAAAAAAGACAACAAAACTAAACTCAGAACAAACAAAAAACCCAACTGCACAAGCGAGATTCAGAGTCTGTGTACCGATGAGAGGAAAGTTAAACTGGTGAGAAGGCCAAAGGCCACTATTGCCTTGACATGGCCACTAGCCCAACTGATACGTGTCTTGAATCGATGATGATGTGCCGTTAACTCAACTCTTGAAAGCAGTAAGACAGACCCCCGGCATCTCATCATCTTTGGTCCTTGGTCCCAGAACAAACAATCGGCTTTCATCTCTCTGCAAGCACAGGCAACGCTCGGCAGGGAACTGGGCGTCACAAACCTTATTGAACCACTCGGGGCTTTTCTTCTTGGCCACCGACAGCGTCGTGGCGAATCCCGCCAGCATCCCCGCCGCGGCCACGGAGCCCAGGAAGAGGCCACCTGCCGAGAGATGGGGCGCGCGGGGCGCAGGTTACGGGCACGCCGCCGGGAGGAGCGAGAGTGCAGCGGGAGGCCGACCCGGGTTCGATCCCCAGCATCCCGCAGGGTCCCCCCACCCCACAGCACCGCCAGGAGTGCAGAGCCCAGAGTGACCCCTCTGTGCATCGCCGGGGAGGGGGACCCCCAAAAAGCACAAACCAACCAACCAAACCCCCCAACCGATGCAAGCGCACACGTGCGTTTCAGAGGCTGCTTAGCTGCAGTTTCAGAACCGGCTCTGAAAGCCGAGAAACTGCCAGAACCCGGGGTCCGGGGTCTCCCTGCAGCCCCCGAGCTGGGGACTCGGGGTGCAGACACCGGGGTCGGGCACCGGGACCCGCCGTGGGCAAGGAGTGGGCAGCGGGACGCGCCCGAGCATCAGGACGTGCCGTGGGCCGGGGCGGGGGGCAGCGGGGCGCGCCCGGTGCAGCCCACCCTCCCCGCGCACCTTTCACCAGGAAGAGCCGGTCCTCGGGGGTCCCCGCGGCCCGCAGCCCCCGCTCCGCCCCGCCGCCCGCCGCCTCCATGTCCCGCCCGGGCCCGCCCCGCGCGCGCCGCCGCGTCCGGGTGAGCGACACGAGCCGGGCGCGAAGGTTCCGCCGCGGTGCACCCGGGGACGGGTCCGACCCTCGCGGGGGTCCGCCCCGCTCTGCCCGCGGCCCGGGACCCCCCCCCGGCCGCAGACCACGCTCGGCCCGGCCCGACTGCGGGAGGCCGCGAGGTCGCGGCCCAGAGTTTGCAAAACCAGGAGCCGCGGTTCCTGCCCGTCCTTAAGGGTTTGGCTCCCGCGGTCTGATGCACCAGCTAAGGCTGGCCGGAACGGGGTGCAAGAGGGTCGAGCCTGCAGGGGAGAGGAGGCGCCCCCGACACAGAGCCCCCTGCGAACGCTTCCCCGGAGCCTGGCTGCAAAGCGGCGGTGCAGTTTGCAAAAGTGACCACCTCCCCCCCCCCCCACCCCCACCCCGACCCCACCCCCACACACACGCATACCCCACCCCGCGAGGCTCAGACGCGCCGGAGCAGTCCCGGAATGGAACCAGGGTCCACCTGAGCATGCCAGATGCCTGCCCTTCAGCCTCTTACAAACAGCCTTTTTGTTCCTTCTGAGCGAGAGCAACAGCAGCCTTGAGTTTCTGGGGCTGGGCAGGCTGGAAGCCTCAGGTCGCTCCTCTGGTCCTGAGCTAAGTCCCTGACCAAGCCACAGGCCCGGACACGCAGTGGCACTGGGAGCACACGAAGGAGCACAGCAAGGAGCACTCGGAAGCCCTCCCGCACTTTGCACCAACATGAATCCAGAGCTCAGCCCTGAGCACAAGTCTTAGTTTCTCAGCTTCGTCCTGAGTTTGACTGAGCTCTTTAGTCTCTCTGTACCTCTGTCACATAAGGAAATAATCCCCACCCTGCTAGCTAAGTATAGCACCTCCAGGTAAATGAAGCACTTTAAATAAGTTAGCGTAGTGTCTGGCCCACATAAGCACTCAGTCCTGTGAGTGCAAGTTACTGCCTCCAGCTTCTGTAGTGTTGCTGGTGAATTTAGAAATAAAATCGGTGATGCTCAGGCCGCCCTTCAAGAGCTCTGGACGTCCAGTCAGTTGAAAAGTTGAGTGGGGAGGCATATTGGTCAAGCCTGGTCAATCCCTGGCTCTGCATATGGTCCCCCTGAGCACCTCCAGAGGAGGGAGGGAGGGAGGGAGGAAGGTAGGGAGGGAGGGAGGAAGGGAGGGAAGGAGGGAGGGAGGGAAGGAAGGAGGGAAGGAAGGAAGGAGAGAGGGAAGGGAGGAAGGAAGGAAGGAAGGAAGGAAGGAAGGAATTAGGGAGGGAAGGAAGGAAGGAAGGAAGGAAGGAAGGAAGGAAGGAAGGAAGGAGAGAGGGAAGGGAGGGAGGAAGGAAGGAGGGAAGGAAGGAAGGAAGGAAGGAGGGACGGAGGGAGGAAAGGAAGGAGGGAGAGGGAGGGAAAAAAGGAAAGGAGGGAGGGAAGGAAGGAAGAAGGGAAGGAAGGAGGGAAGGTAGGAGGGTGGGAGGAGGGAAAGAAGGAAAGAAGGAGGGAGGGAGGGAGAAAGGGAAGGAGGGAGGGAGAGAAGGAAGGAAGGAAAGAGGAAGGAGTGAGGGAAGGGCGGAGGGAGGAAGGGAGGGAGGGAGGGAGAGAGAGGGAGGGAGGGAGGGAGAGGGAGGGAGGGAGGGAGGGAGGGAGGGAGGAGTTCAGGGCTCATTTCACCGTTTGCAGGCAGCCTGACACTAAGAGTTTCCTGACTCACCCGGAGAGCCAGGCTCTGGCCTTTGACCTGGCCAGTGTTAGGCTGGGCCGCTCACTGGTCTCCAGGACTTGCCTCCTTCCTCCCCTTTGTCCGGGAGGTGGGCCAGAGCTGCTGACGGGGGCGAGGCCCTGCGCTCAGTGCTCTCCCCTTCGTCTGCTCCAGGCCCAGCTGCAGGGCCAGGGCTGTCCTCTGCCCAGGGACCCAGCTGGGACGGGGATCCCGTGAGCTTCTGTGGAAGGCTCCAGCACCTCCGTGTCTGCTGCACCCCTGCAACAGTTCCCCTGGGAGAACAGATGCCCCACCCCCCAGCCCTCGCCCCACCATCCTCTCCCAGCTCCTGCTCCTGTGTGCACACGGTCGCAGGAACACCTGTGGGGCTGGTCCCCAGGACCGCAGAGAGAGAAGAGGGGTCCTGTTTGCTGTTACCCCCACCCCCTGGTGCGGGAGCATTCTGTTGTGAGCATTCTGTCACCATTCACCCTGAAGGACAGAAGAGTTGAGCCATGACAGGCTCCACTTTAAGACCGAAACTCAGCAGGCCTAAGTCTCGGTTTCCCCCATCAGAAAGTCCCGACTCCTCAGAAAACAGTATCACCCTGGGCAGATAAACCGCCCCATGGCAACAGCCGATCAGAGTCGGGGGCCTGGGCAGTGGCGCCCGGCCAAGCAGAGAGGGCCGAGGGAGTGGAGTCACGGGATGGGAACAGGGACCGAGAATTGGAAACATAATGCTGGTCCCTGAAGTCACAGGACCAGAGAGAGACAGGAATTGGAAACCTATTGCCAGTTCCTAGAAAAAAAAAATGCTGTTATGTAACCAAACCCTGTCTAAGCTGCTCAGAATTCGGAGTTGGGGTCCTTGTCAAGAACTCCTCTGCATTGGATGAGACTCGGACCCTAGCTCGAGCTAGCGATAAAGGGGCCTTGCATTTGCAGCCTCGTGTCTGGTCTGGTCAATGTTTGAGCGCCTTCCTGGGACATAACACAGAGAGAAAACGTGTCAATCTCGTTAGGGCGAGTGTCCCAGCGCCCCTAGAGTGTCACCGCAAACCCTGTGTGCTTCTCGTCCCAACACTGCAGCTTAGGACCTTTGCCTCTGTTTCCCCTCCTTCCTGAATGTTCTCTCTCTCTCTCTCTCTCTCTCTCTCTCTCTCTCTCTCTCTCTCTCTCTCTCTCTCTCTCTCTCTCTCTCTCTCCATTTGCAGCAGCCCCAAGGAGTCCAGGAAAGCCAGCCAGCGAGTCAGCGTCAGCCTCGGGGGAACAGTTTGCACATTTCCAGGCCCTCGAAGGCAGACACTGTGAGCCGGGAAGAAGGGGGGCTGGTGGGTCGCTCCCAGCCCCTTCCTGCCTGGCCCCCCAGATGGTATCTGCAGGGCCTGGGAAAATCTGCCCCGTGCAAGGACAGGGCGTTCCTCTCCCTGAGATAAGAGCAGCATTCCGGGCCTCCCCATGGAGAACGCTTCCCAGAAACAAGCGTGTTTCTCAAGGCCCCCTTGTTTCTGTGGCCACAGCTGGGTTCTTCCTCTGTCACCTGGTGGGCTGGTCTGTCCTTGGAAAGCACCCACCTCCCTCCCCCCCACCCCCCATCCCCGCCCGCCACTCCCAACCCCAGCGAGATGGGCGAGATGGGCGTCTGTGGGAGTGTGTGATGATAAGTCCCCAGAGCAAGGCGCCTGGTACCTTCAGAGCAGCCCAACATGCGTGTTTTCCTGCAGGGCGAAGCGTGGGAACGGGCCGCCCGGCTGTGGCACTCGGTTCCGTGCAAGGCGAGCGGGACCGTCGCGCCCATGGCGGCCCTGATACCCTTTAAGGAAAATGTCACCGAAATGTCTCTGCAAGCAGCAGAAGTGGCTGGGAAAGCCAGTTTATCGGAGACATCGTCGGCAGCTATTTTGGGGTTCTTTTTCGTCAGCTGAAAGTTCAGACCGCATTCTTATTCCAAACCTCTTGGCCCCTGCCATGCTGTTTTTCCCTTTTTGACAGAAACGTGTTACCGTTACAGCTCCTGGAATCCGAGTGATCCAAGCTCGAGAGCTCGAGCTACTTTCAAACCCCGATGAGATGATTTTCTTTCCCTTTCCCCCATATGGTCAATTCGAAACCCATGCTATGTCTCCCGTTTAAAGCTGGTGTTTATGTTTAAAATCTGGTTCGGGTCACGGCATGGTCAGCCTTGCGTTCTTCTTGGTGTCAGATAGAAGATCGGAGAGTTAAGAATACACTCCAGGGGGCTGGGGCAATAGCACGTGACCAAACCCGGGTTCGATTCCCAGCATCCCATATGGTCCCCTGAGTACCTCCAGGAATAACTCCTGAGCGCAGAACCAGGAGTAACCCCTGTGCATCGCCAGGTGTGACCCAAAAAGCCAAAAAAAAAAATGCACTCCAGCTGGGGCCGCAGGGAGAGCACAGTGGGAAAGGCCCAGGCTTCACAGGCGCCAGACCCAGTTTGATCTCCAGCACTGCATGGTTGCCATCCCCTCGGGGACAGTAGCCGTGGAGGTCCCCAAGCGTCACCAGAGTGACCGCTGCATTCCAGGCCCTGTTGGCCAAGAGTATCACAGGGCCGAGCAATGAACCATCAGACCCACACAGGCCTTGCTCAAGATTCCTGGGGGCGCTCTCAGCGCCCCACAACACTACTGGGGAGCCCTCCCCACAAAAAACATATAGAGTGCAGAGTTGTCTGAGTGATTTTATAATGAAAGGGGTGTGGAGACAACCCTCTCGCATTCACACCAGGTTCTTCCAGAAGATGGGCAGGAAAGAAAGAGAGGAGAGGAAAACTGCTCACTGCGTTGCTTCCGCTTTCTGCCCTAAGGAGGAATATGCTGACCCAAGCAATGTTTTTATAGAGTTCTAGGTGAAAAAAAATGTTTTAATGAGGATTGGCATTTTATAAATGGGAAGTAAAAAAACATGAACAACACGTTTAGGGTCAGAGTAAAGTAAAAAGTAAAGTAAAGTAAAGGCCCTCCCGTTGATCATCGATTTGCTCGAGCGGGCCCAGTAACGTCTCCATTGGAGACTTTGTTGTTACTGTGTCTGGCATATCCAATACTCTTGGTAGCTTGCCGGGCTCTCCGAGAGGGGCGGAGGAATCGAACTCGGGTCGGCCATGTTGACTGTGTGCAAGGCAGACGCCCTACCCGCTGTGCTATCGCTCCAGCCCGTCTGCTGCCAACCAAGGTTTGTCCCCAGCTCTGCATGGTTCCCCAAACATCACTGGGCCTGGGTGCAACCCCAGAAGGACCCAGGAAAGCCCCAGCACTGCAGGCCCCAAGAAGCACCA